GAGAGAGAGCAGAGGCCTGCCAAATCACAAGGAACACCTCTGCACACACTGCCGACTATCACCCAACAAAACAAAAAAAAAAAAAAAAAAAAGAATCTACACACGTTACTAATTACATTCTTCAACACACACACACACACACACACACACACACACACACACACACACACACACACACACACAGAGTAAAAAATGAGCATCAGTTATTGTTCTCAGGGGTGACAGTGTTCTGTGAACACATTTCGCCACATTTACACAAGGGCGTCCACTTTAATCAGACGTGAGCGTTGTCTAACATCACCCACTCCCTCTACCTACATCACGCCAACAACCAACCACTCCCTCTACCCTACACTCCACCACCACTCCCTCTACCTCATCACACAGCCGACACCACCACTCCCTCTACCATACTCCCTGCACCACCCTCCCCTCTACCTACATCTCGCACCACCACCACCACTCCCTCTACACCACATCAACCTCCACCACCACCACCCTCCTACCTACATCACCTCCCACCACACTCTCTACCTACATCACACCTCCCCACCACCACTCCCCTCTCTATCCCCTCCACCACCCCCACTCCCTCTCCTACATCACCTCCTACACCACCACCACTCCCTCTACCTACATCCACACCAACCACCACCACCACCACCCTCCCTCTACCTCATCACACCCTCCACACCCACCACCCTCCCTCTACCTACATCACACACCCTCCACCACCACCCACCACCCCTCCCTCTACCTACATCACACACCTCCACCACCACCACCACTCCCCTCTACCTACATCACACACCCTCCACACACCACCCTCCCTCTACCTACATCACACACCACCACCACCACTCCCTCTACCTACATCCCCCCTCACCCACCACCACCCCTCCCCTCTACCACCCACATCACACACCCTCCCCACCACACCCTCCCTCTACCTACATCACACCCCTACACCACCACCACACACCCACCACCACCGCCACCACTCCCTCCACCACACACCCTCCACCACTCCCATTACTGTCCTCATCGCCTTATCAACTCTCAATGTTATGTGTTTATTTTCTTGTTCTCCTTCACCACAAGAAACAATCCGACATCAACAACTGCAACTAATATATTTATGCCTCTCTTTTGCTCCAATCATTATGTCATCTTCTTTCAAGTTTCATCTCGTCCTTCACTCAAGCAGCCCCTAACTCAAGCACCAGCCCTTAATCTACACTATTATCATTGAATTCTGCCTCTGCTTTGACACACACACACACACCCCCACACACACACACACACTTGATCCTCACCTTTCACATACACACGCACAGTTTTTAGCCCACAAAGTCCGTTTTCCTCAACCACCTAATTTTCTCTTCACATTTCTGAGTGTGTGTGTGTGTGTGTGTGTGTGTGTGTGTGTGTGTGTGTGTGTGTGTGTGTGTGTGTGTGTGTGTGTGTGTGTGTCATCCTCTTGGTGGTCAGCTCCTCCACTCTTGTCAAATCATGTTTATAAATTTTTTTTTGTCCTTTCCACAGTTACCTCTTCCTCCGGCTGTCATACTTTCTCTTCTTCTTCTTCCCCCTCTTCCTACTCCTCCTCCTTCTCGTTCTTCCTCTCTCTCCACTGTTATTCTCTTCTTCTCTTCCATAATATATTTTCACTACTTATACTTTCATTTGTATTCATTCCTTTGCCTTCTTCTTTTTCTCTCTTCATGTCGCTGTTTCCTCTGTGCTTCCTCCTGTTCCTCACCCTCTTCCTCCTGCTCCTCCTGCTGGTGTTGTTGCTGCTCCGAGTTCAGGTCCTCCCCCACAAGTCATTGACCTGAGCGTGACGGGCGTCGTGTTATGGTTTCCGCTACTATCTATTCGCTTATCTATCTCTTTCTCTCTCTCTCTCTCTCTCTCTCTCACGTGTTAATTACTCTTCCTCCTGGTTTATAGTCAAGGACGGTGATCACAGCCTTTAGCTAAGCCGACTCCTCCTCCTCCTCCTTCCCCTAATTACCCATCAAGGCTGAGGGCTACCATTACTATACCTATACTTGTCCCACCTCTCACACACACACACACACTAAACACGGGTCGTATTATCTACACACAAATACTTCCTCAACTACATAATAAACTTCAACATCTTCCCCATTCTACAAGATTTATCATCCTAGTTTTAATATCTTTACGTTTCCTTCATAATATGACCTTAAAGGAGTCTCGTTGCTTAATTTACGAGGTGTAAGTAAATGTCAGAGTTTGAACAAGTTTGACGTATCTTAAAATGAATTGCTGTGGTGATCCGCTGATGGCTGGCTAAGTATTTTCACCCTGGAGTTAATTTCATCCCTAAAGGTAATGGCTGGCTGGTTGGCTGGTTTCTGGAACGCTATGACTGTAAACACAACAACAACAACACTTACCACCAATACGGAAAACAGCTGAATACAAAACTACCCTCCCCCTCTCCCTCTCTCCCTCTCTCTCTCTCTCTCTCTCTACACGGGTCTTTGTCCAGCGTGTTGATGTGGTCGACGTTGATCAGTCACCTATTTCCTGCTTCTCTCACTTGGACCACCTTATCTAACCCTTCCTCACCCCCCCTCTCTCTTTCTCTTTTCCTCACCCTCCCTCCCTTCCTCACCATTTCTCCTTTCCTCTCCCTTCCTCACCACTTCTCCTTTCCTCACCCTCCCTCCCTCCACCGTCTCTTCTTGTTATGCTCAAACAAGATAAACATTAATACTTACAAAACAAATAATAATTTACAGCTTAAGAACATAACACACTACCTTGCTGTGCCTCAGGTTACCCATTACCCCCCTCCCCACATATACACTACCCATCACACTCCTCATCCTCACCATCACTCTTACCCATCATCACCACACACACACACACACATTAGCCATCACCCTGCTCTTCCTCACCCATCACCGTAGCATGGGTGGGTGGGTGGGTGTGGGTGGGGAGGAAGGCGGTCGGTGATAAGCGTGGTGTGAAGGGGAGGCTGCCCCGGTCACCAGGAGGTACGCCCCCGTTGGTGAGCACCTCGCTGTGTCCACCACCAATAAGATACTCGGTGTTGTTGGAGGTGAAGACAGAGTGCCTCCATATATCCCGTATTAGTCGAAGGTGACAGCTTACAGGTAGAATATTGACCCCGGAGCGTGAGGGTTGGAGTGTGAAACAGATAACTAACCTTCTTCCGGAGAAACTGGTCCCTGGAGCAGGGCCTTGGTCTGCCTCTCTCCACCATTCCCTACTTGTGGCGGCCACGTGGGCGGCGTGACCCCGTGCACACCAACTCCTTCCCTTCCTACCTCCCGCGCTCCTCTCTGTCCTCCACCTCAGTAAGTCACTCACGTAATCTACCACAGCTGCCGTAGCTTACAATGGTGGTAACCGAAGTGGCCACGACCCTACAACTGCTGTAACCGCAGCTGTTAAGATGCTGCTGCTGTTGTTGTTGCAGCTACGGAAGTGTTGTTGTTGTCGTTACTGCTCTTGTGTAGAGGCGTCCGTATTTGCCATCTGGTGGTCGTCACCCCCGCCACACCTTCCCTACACACTCACACACACACACACAGGCACACACACACACACACACACACACACACACACAGGCACACACACACGTACACATCCGGAGATGTACACGGGCTGGACGCTCACAATACGATGAGTGTTGACTGAGGCGCCACACCGCCTCGCTCACAAGCAATATACCAGTCAGTAGCCTTAAAATTATCATTTAATATAAATAAGTAAGAACATCAATATTTCAGATATAATTACTAAGGAATTATAAATAAATATATAACAAATGTCGGTAGTGTAAAAAAAAAGTTGAGTTGACGAGTAGAAACTGTTGCATGTGTGTTTTGGTTGGGAGGTCAGTGACCCCGGCGGCCAGACAAAGTCTACGGAGTGGCGCTGCCCTCCTTCACTAAACCAACTTTCCTTAACCTAATTTCTTTATTTGTTGATAACATGGCAGTGTGTCTGTCCTGGGTGTTGTGGTCGTCCACGGCGCCGGGGACTACTGATTTTCATAACTAGATTTGTTGAAGTTATAACGTAAACATATATTACAGCCGTTTAAGCTGCCGTCCTTGTACATAATGACGGGTTTCTAAGGCACAGAATTACTGCCATTTCTCCCTTCAAGTTCTCGACGACGCACATCCTTAACCCACTCAACACATGATACTGAATCACCACCTAGGAGACCTGCTCACTGCTCAGGCGAGTAAGCAGGCCTCACCTCTCCACAGAACTGAGAAAAAGGATTACAGAGGGTATTTCCTTTCACGCGGGAGACGTAGTGTTCAGGACAGCACCACGTGGGGCTACAGGGTTTCGGGTTGCCAACCACGAAATCCTGCCGGAAATGAAACAGCTAACAGCCATGTCAGGTTTACAGATAAGGACATGCTTCAGGAAATACCGGCGTCATCCGATGAGCTGAAATATTATATTACATCCGAGTGACATATCGATAGTGAATATATATATATATATATATATGAACGTGGTAGAGTCGTGTTTGTCAGGAAGTATTTCTCCTCTCCTGGCCGACGACACTGTGGAGCGTACACCACTAGCTTACCCCCCCCTCCCCCCCAAACCTTTACGTACCAGACGTATGATACTACTTGTACACTCTCCATGCATCTATACAACAAATATTATCCATAACTCACTTTACAGTAAACAATATTCTTAAGATCTATTAAACCTCTATCTTTTTCTAATTTGTACACTACATAATACTGATTTTAGATCGATAATTATAATGTAAATCAGTGTCTTTCCAAATAAATTCTTTCTATTAATTTAAAAATATAATTCACATCAAACACAGTACATACAAACATAAAAGTGATAATTAATATATTTAAATAATAACCGACTTACATTGTTTTGGTATACGAGATGTTGGGCTCGGTGCCGCTGTTGGGACTTGGGAGCGAGTGGGACCAGTGACTCACATGTCTGCCAGTATATTACCAGAGGCCTTGTGAAAAGCAGCGAGCGTGGAATGATCCGGTTGCTGCCTCGCTGAAACACTCTGACTGGATTGATATGGGAAGAATATTACTGGAGCCATACTTAGTGAAGCTATGATAAGTAAAGGCTGGCATTAACATGAAAGCGATTCAAGATATATGAACGTGTTCCAGTACAACATGATTTATTATACATTTTAAAATCCGAAATAGTGCCCCTATGAAAGCCTTAGTATTTGACTCCAAAAGGAACAAAAGACCTAAATTGTGAGTACGAGGTGAATTTCTTTTAAACGTATCCCAAAATTTCTTGTCTTGTAATAAAATGTCAATCAACTGACAAATTCACACGTGCCCTGTTATAATGTTCACACCCTCGAGTTAGTGAGTATTTCAGACTATCACAAACGGTACAAATCAGGTAAGTATCAGCCACAACACCTCGAGACGTCACACTAATTAACCTACGAGATTCCCCCAATAGGCTGAAACTTCCCACCCGAGTTTTAAGATGTGATCGAATCAATGGGTACTTGTCTTTAGCATTAATTTCCAATCGTTAAAATAATGAGAAAAATATTTATTTGGTACAATAGAGAGGCATACAAAACACACGTTAGTGGGTTAATTTCTGTTGTAGATCCATAAACTATTTAATGTACGAAAAAAAGTATAAAATTATATCATGTGCTGGAGAGCTTTAAATATCATGTGAACAAACCCTGGATGTCATTGTATTTTATTAATGACTTATTAGATTTTATTCATCACGTATATACAGAAGTCAGGCGTACAGAATAAGTGACCATGAATAACCACTGAGTAGGATGAGTCATTTCACTCACGAGTTTACTGACCTCTGTAACTGAACACCAGCGCTTCCTACAACAAATATATCTAATAGCAAATTGCATGGTGATTGGCTGTTTTTATCCTAACGAGTGATAATCTCTCATGACTTGAATTCCAATAGTTCAAAAAATGCAAGATGTACTGATCGGTTAAAAAAATATGTGATAGCCTGTTACAGCTCTTGAAATATTCACCTATATCACTCGTTATGTAGTTTATAATGTGTTCTGTAATAAATTGAACCACCATCACTAAAAAAAAAAATTACAGACAGCGGTACAGCCTAGTATTAATAGTTGCTCAATCCAGGCAAGTTCATTGTCCGATGCGCTTACCTGACAACACTCCAGTCAATAACTTTCTCCACTGACATTGTAGCTTCTACACGACCATGCGGCTGTTGACTCTATACCGATAGTTTATTTAGTGTGTTTTTACTCAACCTGACAATGCGATCAATAGTCCCGTCGGAGAATCGAACATCTAAACACGAGGAATTTTGTTTAAAAATCCATAACTTTTTTTTTTTTACGTGACTAGTCGTTTTTATCTATCTGGGTTTGTTTTTCCAAGGATTTAGAATTCAAATTTAAACAGAATCTTAACGAGTCTATATCACAAAATTTAATTCTACACTCAGGTGCCTAACACTTGGCCATCGACAAGCGAAGACGAGTCGTGTTACATCAGTTGGAAGTGACCGGTTTTCCACTATTTTTTGCTCGTTTTAGGTTTGATACTTAAAAGTGAGTTCGTCTGCCTTTTGCACCACTCACTACTGAACTGTACTGTGAAATTTTACGGTGTCCACTCTTGTCTTGAGCGTCTGCCTGTCGATGAGGTGAGCGTCATTATCTTGCGAGATTTGGAGACGATTTAGACACGGTTCACTGCCCTTACGGAAACGAGAGAACAAGAATTCGCTGGCTATAAGAATATCCACTACACTGCTTAATTAAAATGACATTATAATACTCACGTAAAATACCTTTGAAATAGTGGCGAGATACACTGTTGCATTTTAGGTTCCCGTGCAATTTATATTCGTGAACTACAGAGACGCCCGGTTTTAGCAGACTACTAATTTGGCCGACCATATAATAGTATTAGGAGCGGAGTTGTTCTTTAAAAAGCAATTGACATAAGTACCGGTGATATTTTAAGTGACCGGTAGGCTACCATCTTCATCAGTTTCAATATTTTAGCCAAGACACCAATTTTTATCCATTGAATTAAATTGGTGCACAAATGACTTAAAGATGTATGATATTTTTCACGCTGGTTTAAAAATGATTACCATAGACTATTTCATTCGTCATAATATCCTGTGCTATGACTGAAAGCTTAGAGAAGTGGATGCATATGTCTTGTCGGCGAGTCGCAGCAGCCGGCCACGTGCTGACCCACCGTGTTGTCCTGCACCACGTCACACTCACTGTAGCTCGCCAACTAGATGCTGAATTCTTCTGATTGCGTTGTGCTTTCATTATCCCATAGTTACATAGTATCAAATCGCTATTATTGCACGCGTCTTTCCCTAATGGCTCTGTGTTTGCGCCTGTTTGTGTAAATTTCAGTTATCAGTTGAATATGAATGGAGAATATACTGTTACGCCAATTACATAATTAAAACAAAAACCCACGAGAAATTTAATCTCGGGCCTACGGCAGAGGAGTGGCCGCCGCCTTCCATTTGTGTTTATTGGTCACCCCTTCACCACACACCTCAAAACCCTTCACATTCCCCATTTTTTCTGGCAGTATTCCGCACTTTCCTACAAATTTCCTCAGCTGTCACCCGTAGAAGCAAATAATTATTTCTATCAAGTGTTGAAAAGTAATTGCTTCGCGTTTGATAAGTAAATTACACAAGAAATTGAGGTAAATACACCTGTTATGTATTAATACGTAATTTTTACCAGTTTAATTATGTGTAATGATATTGAAGGAACGTAAATATTTCCATGTAATTCTTAAAGCATGCAGCGTGCAGTAATTTTATCAAATACCTATACCATATTATGATAATTAATGCGAGACGGTATACAGGTATATATCCTAACATTCTTCTCTGCTACCCCCTCCTTCACTCCTACCTTGTTCTTGGTCTACCATTCCTCTGGCTACCCACCTCCTCGTTCTTGCCCCCTAACAACCTTGCTGATAGTACAATGTACATACACTCACTCACTCAACCCCATTTATAACTTCTCCAGGACTCCAGACACACGTGGCATTAAACAACTGCAATAATTGATGTTATCATAAGATCACGTGGATAATAATATTGTTCTTCATTTTGTTTTAAAGCTGTCGATTGTTTTATGTATAAACTAAGAATTGACAAACAGCGCTTGTAGTTAACTCGGGCCGCTAAAGCACCGACATAAATAAAATAAAGATCTTTGTAACCTTTCCGGGAAAATGTAGGAAATTTAGCGCCCGGGATTTTTTTAAAGTCTATAATTATGTAAGAGATATAATGCAGTATGGTCGGTAACGTTCCCTAGTCCCACGCAGTAGGTCGAGGGTTCGAGTCCTGGCTGGTGAGGTCGTTGATTATATGTTCAAAGTCCGCGTGTTATATATATATATATATATATATATATATATATATATATATATATATATATATATATATATACCAGGAAGGCGCCGCCACTGAGAACCGTTTACTTACTTTCGCACATGTTCAACTGTCTCATTTAGTTTGTCTACGAGTATTTATTTGCACATTTAATTTTTATAACTCGGATTAGTTTAAAACTTTCGGCATCCTCTTGTTTTATTGTCAGCATTACAGTATATGTTACTGGGGATGTCGTTTCAGTTTATGAATTGTTCTCTCCTCTTCTCCTCCATTTCATTCTTTAGTGACATCACCCACATGAATCTGACCTATATATACTGTTATTGAATATGATGTATTTTTTTGTGTATGAACCTCTGTCCTGCGTGGCAGTGAGAAGTGATACCACCCTCAGTGTCAAGACCTGACTGAATTACTCAGAATAGGCAAACTGTACTCCAAGCTTTGTCAATAAATTTTTTAAACTAAAACAAAATCCTTTAAAAAATTTTATAAACACGTTATTAACATTTTAGTAGACTTGATTTGTTGTGTTTAACCTGCAACGGATTCCTTGGTCATTTTCGTTTCAACTTTTTCACCTCGAGGTCTCTAACAACTCTCTAAAGCTTCCACCCAAATCCCATCTTCCCGCCTTCCGCAGCGCTGACGTACAGATAGACATTATACGAGTGTTGTGTTGTGTTGGTCAGTCAGCCGCACATCGGCTGGCTCCTTCAAAGATTCCCACGTTAATTTCTGCGTTTTCGAAGATTTTGGGAATTCTTGCGGTTGAGTTAGATTGTGTACGGAATTTACGACATTGTTTTGGTAGTTGTGTGCCCCTGCTTATGTGGGCCAGTTACGTGCATTCTGAGTTTCTGACCCGGGTGACATTATACACACAGGGTACCACATTGCTTTACTGAGAATTATTATTTTTTTATCGGGCTGCCCTACTTTGATAACACTGATTTAATTCGCCGAGTGCAGTAGTGAATGTATCAACTTCCGGTTAACAATTATAGAAAATCTTGTCTTTTTGTTTTTTTTTTGCACCGAGCGCATTAAAATCGGTTATCAAATTAGTGCAGCCAAAAAAAAATGGTAAAGCGCCTTTATATATACTGTAGCCAGATAAAATTATTTTGACAACCTTTCCATTATAATTACTAAGCGCTAGCAGGACTTGTTGGCAACAGTGACCTAATTTGCAGTAATGGCCGGGTACTGTACGTCCTTCCCATTAACCGGGTCCGGTACGTCCTTCTCATTAACCGGGTCCGGTACGTCCTTCTCATTAACCGGGTCCGGTACGTCCTTCCCATTAACCGGGTCGCGAACCTTGCCAGAGTAATGAAGCTCATCTATTGCGAGGCAGAGCAAGCGCTGGTTGCCTAGTAACTCGCCACCAGCGATCTGTCCGCCCGGAGACTGGCTCACGCACACCGCTGCTTGTGTAATTACAAGGCTTTACCCCAAGAAAGGATATGAGTAACATTCTACGTGTAAACTGAAAAATAAGCGACTTTCTCAAACAGTGGGGACAATGTTACTTTCCCTCGCTTTCTCGTGTACGCGTCGAGAGGAACACAGTGCACTCCTCCATACTCCACACCCAAACACAGAGACAGACACCCCTCCCCCACCCTAGTACCTCACAAGACGACACAGACAAGTAAGAATAAGGCAACGGTACACTGGCAGCTAACGGACGATAGTATTGTTAAGTCGCCGAGAATAGTCAAGCAGAGGTGTCCCTAAACTGATAGTCCATTGTTCTCTGGAAGTTTAGGTGTATCGTATGTGTTAACTTGACATTATTACTGTAATACCTGTGTTGGTTATGTTCAACGATATGTAATGTAAACTGTATCATCGCTGTTGTTCATAACGGCTGCTGAACAAAATAAAAAGTTATTATTTTTCTCGCATTATTCTCGCTCCGAAATATCGTGAGTCTGACCAACCTGAACTAGTGTTAACGATTACTTTGTCGTGAAATATTGATAAATTTGGACATGATTTGGGCAGTAGGCGACGTGCCCTCCATGTTAAACAGGGGTTTATCGCCCGACTCCAACACGCGCGCGCACACACACACACACACACACACACACACACACACACACACACACACACACACACTTATAATGTTTTACGGAGACAGTAAATAAATATCATATATTTCTCCATTTCACTACCAATGGAATATTATCGGCAAGACAATTATTAAATAGCTACGTTACCTATGACAGACGCCCTCATCCCCCGTTGCCTGTTAGATGTGGCAAAAATATTTGTTTATAAATTTAAAGAAGTTACATAACAGGCTGAAGGCACGAACACAGGTGATGACGTCACCCAGTGTCACGACGCACCAACTCTCATTTCATTATTGTGCTGCAGTGAAGCACCGCTGCCCGCACCCCACAACACCAATGCTAGTCCGCAATAAGTAGACTGGTAAGATCTCACGACTTGGTGTAACGTGTTTGATTATTATTTTTGTTTTTATACAGTATACGGAGTACGTACCATACACTAATTGTCTTGGTTGGTTGAACGTGAATGTAATCAGTGAGTAAGGCAGTGGTTAGGAAGTCGGTAGTACTATGAGTGGAGAGCTGCCTGCACCATGGGGGAGGGGTAACCTCGCTCCCTGTAAGGCAGAAGAGCCCGCCAACCCCGACAATTACGTAATAGCCATCCTCACCCACCTAACCCCCCCCTCTCCCCCTCTTCACCACCACCTCCTCTTCCTCCTCGCACATGTGTTAGTACCACCTCGGGTCGTCAGGGTAATGAGCGACACCGAGACAAGAGAATAACAACGGGAGGGAGGGAGGGAGAGGAGGGGGGGGGGAGCTACAGCAGGCAGCAACTCCAAGGATAAAAGAGGTAACCATAACAACGGCATCCAGGCAGGGGTCTTTCTAACACTCTTCCTTGACGTACACAAGGCGAGTGTGTGTGTGAGACCCTCAAGGACGATCTTAACCCTCGTTAATAATGGTAATAGGACGAGTAGTAAGAAGGGTTGCATGTGTAAGCGAGGTGCCCCAGTGTTGCAAGTCTCTCTATCTGTGTACGCTGTGGCTACTTAACTGTATGATAGTTTCCGTCACGAGCGCTGTCATACGGTATTTAGAATGTAATGTTTATTTCTCCATGAATCGTATCTCATTAATAAATACTTGTGTAAAATGAATAATGCAGAATCAGTTGTTTTTAGTACTGTTGTCATTTACTTCTATACCATAAGTCTTCAGTATTCAAATTTATAACACATCATTGTTCTCGAACTTTTATCTGCCAGAACTTTACAGACATACACTCAGCAGCCAAATGTAAAGCTGGAATTGTTAAGAGGTTATATTTCAAGAGGTCAAACGTGTGTGTGTGTGTCTGAAGGACGGCATGGTGAGGGTCACTATACTGTATGGACGCGCTCTTAGCAACACTCCCACAAGGAACTGGGAAACAAGAACACATAATACTTATTTCAATTAAATTCAATTCTTGCAGTGTGGGCAGCGTCATCTGGCCATCTTCAAATCACAAATATTTTCCTTCTGGTTGTAAACAGTAGGAGTATAATATAAGTGGTGGTGGGCGTCGGATGGGGGGTGCCAGCCGCCAGTACACCGCACTGTCTGCACATCACGCACCACCACGCACCACCCTCTGCCTCCCCTTACCACCATCATTCACAGCTCAATCACCACCACTCCTCCCTCTCTCTGTTAATACTTGTCCTCCACCAAAGAACCTCTACGAAGTTTTAAAAGTAAACAAATGAAGGTAAGCAGCACGTGTAAAAGGCGACAGATAGCAGAGAATAACAATGAGTCACCGGGCAAGAGGAACACCTCCCCCCCCTCTAGTTGAAAGGAGGAGGCTATTCTGAAATGTTTATAGGCAAAGTTTGACAATAAGAGTCCTGATAAACCGACGACTTTATCAAAATATCCGAGACAGTTTTCACCATTTATAAACTTGAACGCAGGAAAACTTTGCGTAAACTAAAAAAAAAAATCTAAAAAAAAGTGACAAGAAATTGTTAATAATCAAGGCAGTGTTGGGTGGCTGATTACTGTAGCATACTAGGGGTAAAGTTCTCACCGAGCGCTAGTTTGTTAGATTTGGTATTCAGTAAGCTGGCTGATGTAACTAACTAGAGGTGTTATTAAGACCTCACATAACAGTCTGTCCTGCTACCCACACTGTGTAAAACTTCTTTGAATGTCTTATTATTGTGATATACAAAAAACTCTTCATCTAAATGTGTAAAACACACACACTTAACTAATCAGTGGCCGTAGTTATCGTCCATTTACGTTCTGACATTTCAAAATAGCAGTAATAGATATAGTATATAGTGGGGAAAAAACTGAGTAAATAAACATTCTTTACTGATTAACTTTAAACATTTTCATCTAATAAAGCCTGGGTAAAACGGAAACACGGGATGACTATATTACACACACACACACACACATACACATACACACATATATATATATATATATATATATATATATATATATATATATATATATATATATATATATATATATCCAGAATGGAAACGTGGACAAGATAAATCTTGATAAAACCATAAAACCACACAGGAAAAGAGAAACACTGGCGCTCACTGTTTCCCCTTTCCTGTGTGGTTTTACCAATATATATTTCACACATATTTATTAAATCACACAGGAGAGGGGAAACAGTAGAGCGCACTACGGTACAATTAAGATATTTTAATTGATGAAAGTAAAGGTGAAGTTGTCGGTTGAGTAAAAAATCTAAATTTAATTAATCTTTATCTTTCCTCCCCTGATACATGACGTTTATGTGGTATCATTTCCCTGCCCTACAGAGATGGGTCAGCGTGCCGCGCCCTCCAGCAGCTGAGAGGGGCTGTCGAGAAGGAGTCGATGGCGCCCTCGTTAGGATGTGGGCGTGAAGGGGGTGGAGTTGGGCGGGGCGGGCGGCCGCTGGTGGCACGCCTCCCCTACACCCACCACACACAACTCCTGACCCTCGCCGATCTCCTCGACGGCTGCCCCAAGCCTGACCCATTCGCTTACCAAGGTATGTCAAAAAAACACACACACACACACACTCAAAACACAAACACATCAGTGCTCGGAAAAAAACAAAAACACAAACACAAACGACAAGACTGCCCGTGACCTTCTTGTTATCAGATTTAAACGAACACCAATTACAGTAATGCAGTGTCACAAAAATATTGTAGGTTTGGTATATAACTAATTATAAGTACAGTATACTGAAATGCCACCTATAATAAAGTCGCAGTATGAGTTTTATAAGCACATAGTTGTTAATTTTGTAAACTATAAAACATAAAGTTTACTACCATTCTAAACATGAAGTGTGTCCGGACAGTCTCCGGTTTCGCAGTTTAGTTTGTGTAAAACGATATCTTTCATTCCCGTTACAATATCAGGGTACGTAAGAAGCTAATCAGTGGTGTAGTTGATCAGAGAGGAATTAATAATGTAGTGTGTCGAGAAATAACAGATATCTATTATCGTAGTGTAAACACTGAAGCTTAATAGAGGGAGTGTAGGATAGGCGAGCCCCACCACTGCCCTCCGCGTAAGCACCTCTTAGTGTCAAGTCGGAATTAAGGTTCCTCACTGTCACGGCTAAATTTAAACTGTGTTAGGTTTGTGTTTATACAGTAGTTTGAGACCTTCACCCTTCCACTATGAGGTCCAGAGATGCCAAAAAAGGAACGTTTCATGTCTTTACATTGGTTATTAGTTTATAGTGATTTAAATAAACAAAAATTCCGAGGTTCTGTGTGCGGGTGGCCCGGGCCCCACCTTTGTGTGTGTTACCCAGATATTAAATATAAGTTATATTTGAAGAACTATCACTATCTTTTCTATGCACCTTTGAAGTACCTAGATAAGTCATACATATAGATACTGACTAAAATATTTCGCTCTTTTCAGATGCCAAAGTAAAAAGTTTATCCAAGTGTCGCGGGTGTGACAGCTTCACCATCTGCAGTCTGCTCTTCGGTTATGAGGAGCAGGAGAACTCCATAGACATAGAGGTGAGTGGCCTATCTCTCCCCCAGCCTCATTGTTATCTACATTGAACTATGAGTTATAGAACTATATATGGTGTTATAAGTATTTCCTAACGCACACATACCGGTGTATATATATATATATATATATATATATATATATATATATATATATATATATATATATATATATATATATATATAGAGAGAGAGAGAGAGAGAGAGAGAGAGAGAGAGAGAGAGAGAGAGAGAGCTTAAGTCAAGATAAAAACAGCGTTAAGTGAACAAAACACAGCCAGTAGCAGATTACCATGGAAACACATTCTTATAGGCAGTGGCGATGCTAAGAGAACAGGTCACCCTAACACTCGCTCACCAGACTGTACTGTACTGTACTGTACTTACTGTACTGGGCTAAAATATACCTCTGGCTGTGTCCCCCGAATATCACAGATAAGGACAAGCTGTAATAGCAGTGCTGATATTTTGTATTAATCACGGGTAATGAGTCAAAATATGATCTACAATGACAAATTTTCCATACAATATATTTTTGGCGACACATAAGTGTTTCATGAATGTATAACACTGGAATTCAACATAGGCGTTCACTCGGCTCACACCAGCCATTACAGTCCAGTACAGCAGGACTAACACTGGACATACTTCACCATTATATGGACCTAGGTCGTTAAAAAGTGACTATGACACTTGTGTTGTTTACAGAAGTTGACGCCCACGGCGCTGCACGTCGCCTGTCTTTTACCGCAGCCCGGGCCTCTGGTGGGCAAGCTACTTGTGTCAGGTGCTTCCGTCAACGAGCCTAACCTGCTGGGTCAGACGCCCCTCCACGCCCTTCTGCTGGGTAAGTCACCCTCCTCTCCTTGAGCCAACACCCACCTTCATTATATTGTAAAAATCTTCACTGCACTGCGTCACCTTTGGTATATTACTCTCTGCAGTACTACGTTTATTAAGACAATTTTTTTACTAGAGATTAGTTAGGTTTTTTGTGTATTGATGATATTAACTTGTGGTAACAGGGGACGTGCGAAGCAGCAGTGTGGTGGACGCACTAAGAACCTTGGTGGCACATGGTGCTGACTTGAGTTGCAGGGACAACTCCGGAGAGACGCCGCTACACTCAGTGAGGAACCTCCTGCGGCAGGGGCTCTATGAACGTGCCGCAGACATCGCACACATTCTCCTGCAGGCGGGGGCAAACGTGGACACCGCCAACAATGAGGTAAAGTGATCAATGCTGGACCAACTGTCAATCCTTCAGTAACTTCTATTTATGTGAGAAACTGTAGCTACTGCTCATCATACCCCATCAAGTAAAGCTATCAAGTCAGCCGCTTGCAACCTTACAATCTTCCTTCCCATGCGGACCATAGAATAAAGTAAGTTAATTTATTATAGAATTAAAAAAAGAATCCTTTCTACACTGAACATATAGTCATTAATTATTACTGCCACCACAAAATCTTATACTCGCATCCAAGAAATTCATTGACAAAATATGCGAAGTTGTTTAGGACGTGTCTAACGTAACATTTCTCTTAATTCGTCAGGGTCGAACACTGTTGACGTACAGCGTGGAGCACCTCGACGACTCCCTCCCCCTCACTCGGACCTTGTTAAACCACGGAGCGTCTGCGTGGGGCGCTGCAGATGGTAGCGACAAAGACCAAAGTGTATTTACCTGGTTCCTTAAGGTTAGTTTAGTATATCCAGTGATCATTCTTTTTGTTTAAGTTAATCTTTTAAGGGGAAACTGCAGTAACCTTATCATTATGTAAAAATGCCTTCTTGTATGTTTCATGTACTCTACTTCTTGACACTTAATATGTTTATAGTGAATAAATATCATATAACCCCTGACGTGATATCATTGGTACTTAACCCACACGTTTTTCCTGCAGGCGGTTATTACTCACCGCAGACTAGAGAACTGTTCCTACACTGTCTCTATCCTCTCCCACATGATGGCTGATAACCCCAGAAGAATGCATCAGCATGTGCTAAGAACGATGTTCAGACAGTCTAGGTGTTATAAAGTAAGTGTAGAAATAATAATACGATTGTTGTGTGAAGTGAATTTGTCTTCCCTTGATTTCTATTACAGTAATATGCAGCCAAAACGTAAATCAGTGATGTGAGTAACAGATTAAGCGAACAACTGCTTCCAAATATTAATACTTACAAGCGTTTAATTAAAATAGGTTAGAGCCAAGTATACTGTAACTTTCCTTTATGAAGTGTGAGATCAATATGCCCACGATTAAACTATTTCCTCCCACAGGTTCTGGGTCCTGTATTCCTGGAACTGAAAACGCTCATGATGCCCCACTGGACGCAACCCGCCACCCTGTCCTCACTGTGCTGGCGCTCTGTCCGTAACTCACTCACACCAAAGAGAATACACACGGGAACTCCTCAATTGGGTCTTCCTCCACCGCTCGAGTCCTACATCCTCTTGGGACAACCCACCAGTAGTCATTCCTAGCCCAAGAGTATGTTACTTGTAGAGGAAGAAAACTTGTAAAGATTTCATGTGGATAAACATTGCTGTGGGCAAATCCTGAAATGGAGAGTGAATATGTGATATCCTCCGAGTATGTGAAGAAACACTTATAGTGATCTTGTCAACAGTCTCAGCGTAAAGGTCTCACAGAACAGAGAAGGAACTGAAAGGTTTCTTGGCTGTGTTAACTCAAAGGAGAGTCATACGTGTAAAATCCCTAAATTGCGTTTATTTTTTCTATACGGTATTTTAAATGTTCTCATTTTTTCCCAAGTACCCTGTATATACAGTATTGTACTTCTTATACAAAATTTGTGTTAAGAAATGCTTTTATCATTCTAAACTATCAATTTCACTCTTTAAGAATGTCTACCGTGTAGGTCTTTCATATGCTACATCCATCAGCTATACTTCTCACCTTTCATGAAAAAGTATTCACTTTTTTATGTCAATGTGCATCATCCATTTTTACCACCTAGCTAGAAAACTACTGATTGCAGGGGTCAAACTTGCCAGCACGACTTGTGCCTTACTCAACAAAGTTAACAATACAGCAGAAGAAAAAAATAAAATTAACTAAGGCAAGTACATGTCTTTATACATTAAAGTCATATATTCCGAGTTCGTGGAAGGGCCAAGACATTAAGAGTGGTTTACCTGACAAGTCTTCCGCTACTGTAAGGGGTGATCTGTACAACACAATAATGATTCATATCCTTGAGCTTCTCGAGGGAAATCTTCCTTACATTTAAACAGGTGCTAAAGCTTACCATTTTGTAACATTTATTCAGAAATTAATAGAGGAGTGCCAAATAGCAAGTGATATTTGTGGATACTTCACTATGGTGGTTTGTGAAAATTTTAGTGAGGGGCCACTCGCTGGCAGTCCACCGTGTAAACATTGCCACGTCACACCCCAGAGGAACATCTTTATCCCTCTATGGGTCTTGAGTCAAACTTAATTAAAACATTAGATAACGAAAACCATAGTGACCTGTACTGCCAAGTTTATTCCTATATTTAGGTATTTTTACATGTATAAAAGACAAGCCAATATAGTACTGTACTGTAGTCAATTTTATACTTTTTTCCTAATAGGTAGGAGAGGTGCTTCTGATTATTCAACAGCTGAGACGCTAGTTGTAACTGTATGATCAATATTGTAGAAACAAATATGTGAGAATTTGTGATTGGGTACCTAAGGTCACGTAAATGGTAACAATTGCATCTCCAGACATATTTTGGATATAAGCTTCATAAGGCATTTAATGTCAACATGAAGGGCAAGGGTAGTTATTACTCAGTGTACTTCAAACCAGACTGGTCAAAATACTCCCCATTAAAACTTTAATTAGATATAATATGTCTTCTTAAAATATGTTTTAAGCAAGATATTTGATGCTTATATTCCTGCAGCACAATAATGGTACTTTAACGTTTTATATATAGCTACTGTATATAATTTGAGGTTCATAATCATACACTATTCCTATATGGTGATGATTTTGTTGAGAATTTCTTATCAAAATCGAATTTGGCTACTCTCATATATTAAGGTGTTCAAACACTTGCATATAATACTTTGTTCAGATCAAAGTTGCCCTGCCAAGCCTTTCGTGTAAAACAGCTTATTTAAGCTTTACTCAGGATTTCTTGTAGGCCTACTGTCATTGCTTATTATGGTATGATAAACACTTGGTGAATGTTATCTCAAGCCCCCACGCCGGTGATGGCTTCATAATGGTGTATGTTTACACTGATTCCTCAACAATACTCAGGTGTCACGACTCACTGTGAATCACAATTCATTCATTCTTGCCCAAACAAGTCCGCCTTCTTCTCATGTACTCAGTGGATCGTAGAGTCTTGTGTTTAGGTAGCCTGTGAGTAGATGAATACCTGTCGTGGTGCCTCAACTTTGTGCTCGTCATTTATGTAACACATGTGTAAATGGATGACAAATGCGTTGTTTTATATATGACCAGGACAGTTTTGTACCGTAGTGTGACTCTTGTGCGACAGTATGTGGTCATTAGTAGCTACCACTGAAAACACAAGTATTGACAAGTGCCTCAAATTCAGTGACTTAAGAGCAGAAACAATAAGAAACTTTGCTAAAAACATGTGTAGAGTGACATGTGGTAATTGTGACACTGACACAGGACCTGACGACGAGTAAACTGACTCCTTGACGAGGTAATAGGACACCCAGGGGTCCAGCTACTTTAGGTTAGTCTTCAGTACCAAGGTAACATCCGTAACTGCTGACCGGCCAGACAAGCGATCAGTACCAGTATGAAGGAAGGTCTAGTGCACCAGACAAGAGCTCCCCTGATTCTCCATCATATACTGTACTGATTGGCATCATCGGAACTGCTACTGGTCGCTAACGAGAGAGACTGAGAGGCCAGTGATCGAATGGCCAGTACTTAAGATTTCATAGATAAGTGATTAATGAGGAAATGGCACTCAATAGAAAACTTTAAGAGTGAGGTGTAAGAATATGGGTGTTAGTGAATCCGCCCCTTCCGGGAAGGTGGTATGGTCATGCTCACACAACAATTGCGAAACGTCCAAGACATATTGTGAATATTTTATATATGTGCGCAACTTTGGCTGTTTTCTCACCAGTCAGAGTAAAGATATGTATATTTACTTATAAAATAAAGAGCCCAAAGTGCCAAAAATATATGGTTTATATATCCTAATTCGTCTATCATAACAATGGTGGCATTGTTGGGAGTATATACTGATGGAGCTGTAAATCTGCCACTTCCAACATCAAGTATCACATGACAACAAACATCATAAAATACAAAAGCACAAGTAGAACACAATACAAGACCATAAACACCAAAAAAATTAAAAACAATATCCACACAAGAACACAATCAACATCACACAACACAGCATTTACAAAATCAAGAGATAAAAAAACAGAAACATCACATAATACGACAAACAACATCACGTGATACAAGGTACATCACGTGAGCACCACAAACACCATGGGGGCCCATAGAATATTGGTTTTATAAATTAAATATTTCAACAACTTGCGTTATCTGCAATGGGATTTGGTATTAAAAGGTATTGAGGTGCATAATAATTTAATCGTGTTTGGCCAAAGAAAAGCATCACTGAAGTCTAATTCCAGTAGAAATGAATCACTGAACGATCTCCATTCAAGTTTGGTAATACTTAGTGTTTGCTTCTGTTAAAATCAGACATTTTGTAATGCAATTATATATTTTTTTAATTCCCAATGGAGTTGAGGCAACAGAAGAGAGATGCCGCCATAGTGAGTAAAGATTTGGAAAAGGGTTTTCCTGGTGTAGTTTGTGGTTGTTTCAAGCGAATTTGACCTACATTTCCGTTGCAAATGAGCCGTTATGGAGATTATGACCCCCCAAACAAACAATATTGCTTGCGCAAAGTGGACAGGACCTTGAAGTGGAGGGAAAATGTTGAGTAAAAACAGGCAATAAAAAGTGACGAAACGAATCCTCCTAATCAGAGAAACAAGGACCATTGACCACCTAGCCCTCGTTGTGTAAAAAAAAAATGCCTTAATTAACAGATGCTAGAGGATAAAGCGATGCTAGTTGTAAAATATAGTCTTGTGATCGTTGTATTAGGCTTGGTACTTGTACACTCTCTAAAAAATTATTCGGCACCCGTGTCATATTGTATCACGCCGTAAGGGTGCCGAATAATTTCTTATTGGTGTACATTAATGTTGACGTATTATGTACAGTAATGTTGTCACCAAACATTACTGTACACTCAATAAAAAATTATTCGGAACCCTTACGGCGTGATACAATATGACACGGGTGCCGAATAATTTTTTAGTGAATATACAAGTACCAAGCGAAATGTTGTCGGTAATATTCCTTCTTATTGCCGACATAAGGCATCCGACTCTTGATATTCTTCCATAATCGTTTGATATTTTATGTATGAACGCCTGTAGCACTTGACAAAAGTTGACAGAATACCATGAGCTTTAAAAATGTCAATGGCAGCGGCTTCGTTTTCAAATACACGATGAATGGTTACCAAACCTGAGAAAAAACACCCATACAGAGAAAAGCCATCATGTGAACTTGTGACACCGAGAGCAACGCTGATTTACTACACATGACATTGTGGAAGTGTGGTAGTCAAGGATTAATAAACGATTAATAGTCTTTGGTGGTAGTGAAGGAAACACGACCAAGAGATGGAACTTTATTCTTTACGTTTCATCACAAGACTTTTTCAAGTATATATTGTGACGAAACGTCACACTACCATCTGTCCATTATGAACAACGTTTATAAAACATTGTCTCGTGATTACAGAGACTTGGGCTAATTGGCGTATAATTTAAGGGCCAATTGCAAGAACAGTCGTTGGGTGTACGACGCCGTTTACGATGACCTTCTTGCCCTGATCTTGTTTCAGGAATACCACCCTTTTGAAGCTCTGGAG